TTAGTACGTTGCAAGGTTCAGATGACTTTCAGTGCATTTCTTACATATGAATTGCTGTATAGATAAAAGCAATTGCTCCAGTATAGAGCAATAACAATTAATATGCCAAGTAAAGCAGTGAGAAAACCATCTGAGCACAGATTACTTTTATTAACTGAGTCCCAGAAGGAAGTTGCATGCTTTACAGGATATAATAGTTCCTGAGATTTGGCTTATAAGATAGAAAATTTAATGATGCCTGGTTCTACACGGTACAAAGTATTGCAGGCTTAGGACTAAAGGTTCACTACAGAGTTTCTGCAACTCACATGAAAATACGCATGCTTTCTATTTTAAGCCCATGCTTAAGCCCTGGATTTTGTCCTGATGAATTTATTATCTGTAAGCCCTTGCTTACATGTCCAAGCACAGGAAGAGCTCAGCTTCAACCAGCCACCTAAAACTGAATACTGTCTGTGGTGTTCTCTTCCTCCCAACCTTTCTGGGAGACAAACTTCAATATCAGCTGAGAGAAAGACCTCTTAAATATCTCGACAGTCAGATTAGGAATAGCAACTAAGAGCTGGGTAGGAGCATCCTTCTAACTCATCTTTCCATTATGACGTACATCCTATTAAAGAGCATAATAAAATGGTCCCACCAATGGTCCAACACCTATTGCAGAAGGACCTTCTGCAATTCTTCATAGGCACAGAGATGAAAAAAGCAAAACTAAAAATCAAAACTAAGGTCAATAAAGAGATCCAAGTATGAGGCATCTCACAGAACACGTTCAGTAATGTAGCCAAGGATCAAGGAAGACCCTGGCCTGTTCCACAAATCTGGGGAACCATTTGTGCTACTCTAAAAATTAAATCTCAGGCATTAGTCTAGCAAAACCACTTTTTTCTTTATAAGCCTGAGCTTTTTTTCAGTGATCAGTTCCAATTTCTTGCCATAGGAGATGCACATTTTTTTCCTGTATGTTATTACTTGATTTGAGTTGATTTGGAAGCCTGTATCATTCTATAAATTTGTGTGTGCACATAGAAGTACATGCAAATGTGTAAGCTGACGGCACCTTCAATCTTTATGGTGCAACAATCAGCAGGAGAATTCAAACCCTTTAGCAGAGTATGAAGTATTTTTCTCAGGTCCTCTTACTTTCCCTTTGCCTGCCCCTCTGTTGCTCTACACTATAGCCTTTTATCTGAGAATAAGATAGCATTTTTAAAAACTATGCAGATGCACTCATTTCCATATGTGCTCCTTCTAAAACTATATGCAGTTGGGTTGGGGAAAAGGCAGTGGAGTAACACCACAGGTTTTATTTATGGAGAAGTATTTTTCTCAGGTCCTCTTACTTTCCCTTTGCCTGCCCCTCTGTTGCTCTACACTATAGCCTTTTATCTGAGAATAAGATAGCATTTTTAAAAACTATGCAGATGCACTCATTTCCATATGTGCTCCTTCTAAAACTATATGCAGTTGGGTTGGGGAAAAGGCAGTGGAGTAACACCACAGGTTTTATTTATGGAGTTCTGAGAGTAGAGTCCTTAAAAACAGGGATAGGCAGTAGGGATAATCTTCCAAAATAATGAAAAATTAGTTTAGGGCAATGACTGTCAATATCCCATATAAAAGGTTCAGAGCTGATGGAAAGGTGGAAAGCACAAAGGAATCAGACATATGTAAGTGCTGCTTTCCTCTGAGCTTAATGGTCTGTG